CTGTTAGTGTTTTTAATTGGGTGCTTAAGCATTTTTACAGTTGTTGTATAGAAGGAATAATCTCCCACAATGGAAAAAAAAAAGTAATCTAGTTAAAGGTTTTATTGAAGTGAGGAAGGTAAGCAGAGACTTACATAAAAGCACCAAAAAAAAATAAAATTGCCAGGAACTGTATCAGTCATAAAAGTTAGTCTGGCTTTAAGAGCTTGCAGGTACACCACAAACTGTATGCCATGTCAGCTTTACATGCAGTAAATTTATTTCTTTAAATATTTATTTTCCTTTAGTTTCCCTTCCTTCCTCTACTTTTTTGTCCACTAGAGTCTAAGCTCAGGTTGCCTCAATTTTAAAAATTTATTATTTGTTTTTGTCACTCCCAGGTAGCATCTGCTATTGCTCTCTTTGGGAACATACCTTTGCAGCCGCTGCTTTGCAGCGCTTTATGTTGCACAGTCTCTCAGCTTTACCTGGAGGGAAAGAAAGAAATTACTATTTGAGTTGCAGAAATACATTCTAGAAAACAGTAAAATGAAATTTCCATTTACTTAAAAGAAAACTGTACTGGCTCTAAACAATTATTCATCAGTAATGTATTTTCAGCTAATCAAACATGACTTTCTTCTAGCTTTCTTGATATTTTGCAGATACTGTATATTGGTTTATATTGAGAATATTCATTACAGTTAAATGAAATAATAATCTCTGCAGTGATAAACATGACACCACATATTGTGCAAGCAATGCAGGAAGGAATTACTTGTAGGTGGGAACCAAGCTATAACAGAGCTGCAGTTCAAATAAATGTGTCCCTTTTTTACATGTGTAGATAATTATATCAAAATAAAAGCAATTTAATTCTAAGTATGAAATTCAGTATTAATTCTACCAAACAGCATTTTTCACTTGGGTGGATCTTTGTCACCATACTACCTCTTCTCCTTTTATAATAAATTGGTTCAGAAACTCGATTTGCGTGCCAGAACTGCACCCACAGGACTGCAGATAGCAAGTAGCATTTCCAGGTGGGATTGTAACCCCAACTTTCCATCCTGTTGCTCAACTTCAGAGAGCCTTATTATATCTTTGTTTAAACTGATAATATTTCTCCCTTATGCTAGTACTTTCTCAACTTTGCGTCCAAGTTGTTTTAATACTTAAAACAATTCCCCGTGTATGACAGCTTAGTGAGTTAGTCCTGCTCTGGACCTCATGCTTATTTAAAAAAATGAATGTTTTCCAGAAAGTTCAGTCCAGCCTGATGGAATTACAACCTTTGTGAAACTCACTGAAAAATATTTTTGTAATGTGCTCCTCACAGAAGTATTACTATGTTATAACAACAACAACAAAAAAATCAGAACTGTGAATAGCAGTATGTGAATTTCCAATAGATGGAAACTGGCACTTCGTCAGTTTGGGTATAGATTCAGAACTGATAATTGAAAGTGTACTGATTTTTATTTATTGTTTACTTGCATTATACAAATGCATTATACAAACATTATACATTACAGAATTAATATTTTAACAATATTTGGAATTGAATGCTGAAATTAAACTGCAGTTAGATTGGACCTGTGGGGAAGAGAAGGGTTTTTCCATGTCTTAATGCTGCAAATACTGTTATTGATAAAGGAGTTCAAAATTTTAATGAATACCTTAATCAATACTTAACGTTGGGGAGTTTCTTTTATATGTTCTACTCATGCAGGTTATACTTTTTTTTTCTTTTAGGATCAAAAGCATTTACGTTTTTGAGGATTTCTATACGCTGATTTTTTTATAATATTTTTTTTTTATGTTGAGTTCCTGAAACAACTGAAAGACACCTAACAAATTTGTTATAATCTGACACTTCAATGCCATGCTGGATTTATTCCAAATTTCTTGCAACTTTGATACGGCAAATTCATTAGCAAGCCTTGGGAGAATGTTGTTTCAGGGCAAGCGGCTAGGCTCTCTGTTCTCAGTCAAAGGGTAGATGAATATTGCTGAGGGAAGGGAAACCTATTTCTGACCAAAACAGTTTGCCTAGCTCAGACCAAAAATGGCCCATGAAGAAACTTCATAAATTTAGTTGAAGCTTTTGACAGTCCCAGTGCCAGCTCCTCAGCAGTGGTTTTGTTAGCTCTACTGGTGCACCACCCAGTAACACAAAAAGAAGTGCCATCCCTCTGGGAAGAGCAGCTTTACAGAAGCTGATTAGTTGAGGTCAAGTTTGCTTAAATCATGTAACTTCTACAAACTGTTACTTTGTAAGTACATAACTCCAAGTGAAGTTTAAGCTTTACCAAGTTACAGTATTTGTTTGCCAGTCTTCCAGAATAAGAGTTTGTTGAGTGCTGATGGACTTGCAAGTTGGGCCCACTTGGGCTTGTGGCTTCTGAAGGTTATTTGCACATATCCAAGGTTGCCTGGATTTCATGCTTAGAAATGGTTAGTCACCTAGCATGCAGTTCATAAAGGTACAGACATCAGTATAGGCACTATCTGCCACTCAGGAACCTATGATTGTACAAAGTGTGGCAAGGCAGTCTGAGAGTCTGTAATACAGCAAATAATTACCTAACAAAAATAGCTTTAAATAAGGTGCTTACATAAGAAAAATAACTTTTAATAGGCATATGTACTAGTTCTTAATAGAACCCATTTATAAAACCAAGATGATTTGCTTTACTAAAAATGAATAATTAACTTGGAAATATATTTTTATTTTGTGACATTCTTAGCATCCATTAAGAGCAATTTCTTAGTTTCTTAACACCAGTTTGTTAGAATAATTTTAAAATTTTATAAGTGGAAGTCACCTTCTTTCAGCCTGAATTTTAATCTTGAGCCAAAAGAAAGGAGAAAAAAACTCTGAAAGGCTAATTGGTATCGTAAAATCTATTTTCATACTACAGGAATCCACTCTGTTCTAGCTACTGTAGTTCTGAAGGTAAGTGATTACTGTTATTTCTGTCAGGTACTGTAATATTTCATTCTGTCATGAATATTAAAAAAAAGCAATATGGTTAAATGTAGTCATCAATTTACTTATATATTTATTTTTAAAGTTTTAAATGCTGAAAGGTTTAATGAAATGTCATTAAACTAAAAGGTTTTTTATTTCTGATCTTGGTTTTACATAGCTTATTTTTATCACAACGTCTAAATAGTCTGGAAGCTATTTCCCTGAAAAATTGTTCTGTGTTTTTAACAATAAGGCATCCTGTTACAAAAGTTAAACTATTCAATAAAAATGCAAACAGTACTCTGAGAGATTCTGGAAGTTTTCCAGTTATTTCTGTCTTCTCACAAATTTTGACTGTTTATGCATTAATACATTTTGCAGCAGGTTCTTTGAACTCTGTTCTGTCAGTTCTTCAATTATAAATTCAAATATTTTATACCCAAGTGAGCACAAAAGACATGTTTTAAAGAACATTATTTTTCAAAAAAGTACCTAGTATTCCACTACTAGTTTCCTAACCTGCCAGAAAAGCTTTTTTTGCATGCACTTGGAATACACAACCACCAATTAGCTCCACACCTACTCACTCTCTGCAATTCTTTCATCTTCCACAGTGGGGTTTGTCGTTCGGATGCTTAAGGAAACTGTTTTCCCACCTTTCCCCTTTCCTATTTAATTCCTCTTTTTACGGGTTAAATCATGCAGGATTTGTTTAAAGCACAGGAATCTTCATTATTTACTGCTGCTTTAAAATTTAGCTATGCTTTCCAGTAGGTACCTAGTGCTAAAAACATATAATACAAGAGGAAACAAAGGAGTGGAGGAGCTTTCTGAGCCAATAGCGGGTCTGGAGCTGTGCAGAAAATCATCCTGATTAAGTGCTTTGCACTAATATTAGTGGAAAACAAAGTGTTGTTTTCAATGTGATGTTCTTGGCATAAAAAACTACTTTGTAAGTAAAACTTGTACAATTATTTTGCTGATGCTTCCAGTTTAGAGAAGATTTTTCATGCTTATAAAAACAACCTTTACAGAAGAAATAACTACAATCAATACCTTCTCTTTCTAACACTTTTTTTAAATCCTGCCTTTTTTGTTAATAGTGCTCTGTACTGATATTTTATTCATGTTTTTTCTCTTGCATAATGCATGTTGAGCACCGTTTCTGGATCTTATGACTTCAGTAGAACAAACCAGAGCACTGCTGGATAACTGAATGTATGATAGCATTGTTTGTCTCCTCTCCATTACCCTTTAAAGAGTAATAGCTTACTTTCTGTGTGGGCTTCTAATTAATGTGCTCTTCTGCATCTCCTCAACTGTTTTAATTCTGTTCCTCCCACAAGGGAAGGTTGTTTTCCTGCGTTTTGTAATCAGTCACCATATATTGCTAATGGCACCAGCTGCTAATTCTCTCCAAGAGACTTGTATGTTTTTATTCTGCTTTGGGTTTTTTTTCCTGAAATCTCAGTGAGACCCTACTTCTGAATGATAACCACAGAGAAACTCAGTCTGGGAGGGGAAATTCATTGGTCTTTGGGAATGCTGTATAGAATCAGAGACCTAACATCATTCACTGCACTCACTGAGGCATGCATTTTGAATAGGAGTTATGTCTGCATATGATTGACATGGAATTATATCAGTGACCACATCCTTTACCTCAGAATTTAAATGGGAAGTATGGAAACTGAGGGGATCACTACTCGCCATTAGATGTGAAATTACCTGAAATTGCTCAAAGTAGGGAAATAAAGAAAGCAATTTTTAAATGGAATTGAATTTTTTCAGGTCTTTCCAATATTTTGATAAAAAATTAAGTTACATTGCTGTATATGTTGCTCAAAGTTGAAGCAAAGTTGATCATCGTTACTGATGTTTGTTGGTTTGGCTCCACTTCGAGGTTACACTATCTCATATTATCCATCTTACTGTATAAGCAAAGGTGATGCAGAGAAAAAAACTACCAACATACAAGACAACTTTGTCTCTGTCCTTCGCATTTTATCAAATGGTACCTTTGGTTTGAAATCCTATATTTTTGCAGGCCATAGAGACCCACCTCATTCGAAAATCAAGCGGGGGGCTGACATACATCGCTGAGTGGAAGGGTGGACTGCTTGAACACAAGATGGGACACCTCACTTGCTTTGCTGGAGGCATGTTTGCTCTGGGAGCAGACGGAGCACCCGTGGACAAGACGGGCCACCACATCGAGCTCGGTGCAGAAATTGCTAGGACCTGCCACGAGTCCTATGATCGTACCAGTAAGTGCCGTAGTGCAGAGCTTAGTGTCACAGCTGGACTTTGTGAGGGCAGCCAGCAGTATTTTTGCATGATGCTGAATGAAAGTTGTACGATGGTGAGAACTCTTCAGCCTTTCTAAGCAAATGCTGCTTTGCTCTAAGGGTAACTTTAAGAATGACTGCTCTGTTTTATAAATAATTTCTGTGCACCTGAATCATATCTACTCATTCTAGTAATTAACATGACAGCTTTTTTTTTTCCACTCTGCCAATTTCTGTATAGCTGAATAAAAATAAGAGAGGGACCGGGTTCATTTATGCATCAATGTAGGTATTAATCATGTTTTATGCACAAGAAATTATTTTATTCTCAGTTCTATTGGTAAAATGCTGTAAAGAATAGAATTGCACAGAGAAAGTGGCTTTCTATGCAGGAAATTTCTTTGGATTCTTTCATCTCCTTGTAGAAATAACCCTGGCAGCATTTCAGGTCCCAGAGTGTATTTTTCAGTTTGATACAGAAAAATAAATATCTCCATCTTTTAAGCAAGTTTTCACATCTTGCTAGTTACAGGAAATCTTCCAGAATACAAATGTTAGCATCACTGTTCATACGGGAACTGCTGTTTAAGGCACTGATGGAGAACAGCTCTCTTCTATTCTGAATTATTTACAAAATACTAAAAACAGGAGCTGCTGCAGTGTCTTTCAAAAATTATATATATTTTGGGAAACCTGGCTTTGTGGCACATGAAAGGATAGCTGATTCGGTAAGTTTCATAATTTAAAACCTTTTTTTAATGCCTTTGTTTGAACATGTGTTTTTATATTGGCTAGGCATGAAACTGGGACCAGAAGCCTTCAGATTTGATGGTGGTGTTGAGGCCATTGCTACAAGACAGAATGAAAAATACTACATCCTACGACCAGAAGTCATAGAGACCTACATGTACATGTGGCGGCTCACACATGACCCCAAGTACAGGCAGTGGGGATGGGAAGCTGTAGAGGTAATGTTATGTTGGACTTCTTTCTTATTAAATCTTAGTATCTCGTTCAGTGAGCTATTGGATAATATCTGGATATTGTTTAGCAGTTGGACAGTAAATATTAATTTTAAATCTGTAATTCAAATCGAAATTTCCAGAAGTTCATCTGCTAAATAGATGAACTAAGATCATTTTGAGAAAACCAAATGCTGCTGGTATTGCATATTAGAGATATAATTTGTCATTTCTCCTTCTGAAATACTTCTCAGATCAGGGTCATATTTGGATGTACTGCTCAAGATGTTGAGTATTGCTGCACGTGAATGGAAAGTGCAAACGTGTCAAATTCGAGGCTTGGGCATGGAATAAGTTTTATGAAGTGTATTTTCAACAGTGATTGTACAAAGGGGATTTTAATTAAGGTGATGAAGGCTAAAATGAAGTACTAGATACTAACTAACATTTTAAAAAAAAAAAAATGAATTCACTTTCAGAAAGCATAGCTCACCTGGACTGAACCCTACTGATGATAACAATCTCTTCTATGTTTAAATTTTTGTGTCCTACTAGCCTTTGAGCTTCAACCAGGCATGCTGAATCTGGCTATTTGTGTTTGTCTAGCAAAAGCCTTCCAAGAGGGCAGCTAGTCTCTATGGCAGAGATTGGCTTGCCAAATCCATTGTTTCCCTTTTTCAGTGGTTAATCACTTCTGCTGTTAGAGAAGAGAGCCTTTGGATTTCCCACACTTCACTCTCCAGGCATGGGTCCCTATTACACTTCTAGCATTCACTTATTTTCACCCTCACATTGATGTTGCCCATGCTAAAGTATCTCCATTTCACTATTTGGAATTTCTGAGCAGACTGAGATCTTATAGCAGATACAGGCAACTGAAGAACTTTATTTTTGCAGCTTTCTATACTTTAGAGAAAAAAAAAAAAAATACATAACTGTGCAGTATTTTGTTCACAGTGACCTCTCCTTTGCAGAGTTATTACTTTCAAGGATTTAAAAAACATCCTGTTTATCAGTTTGTCCAACAACTCTTGTTTCTAGGAGCATGTGATTATAACTTTTTGGGTGGGCCTACGCCACTAGTTGTAGAAGGTTGCTCTGTACTAAGGGAAGAACATGTAGACTCGTGTCATGCAATTTCTCATCCCCAAGGGGCCCTACTGGAGAGCTGTTGCTGGGTTATGACTCTATATACCTGGCTGTGATGTGACATCCACCAGCTCCCTGGCTCCCTCAACAGCAACAAAGATCTGTAATTGTATTCACTGTATGAGATACTGAACATATATCAAATGTTGCTGAGTGTTCTGAAAAAAAGACTGTTTCAAGTTTGGTAATTCTTCAGCTTCTTGAAGAATGACATTTATGGTAAAATCTGCTTTCCATAAAATAATAGCTGCTAGCGTGAACTACACTTCTACTCTCTAATTTCTCTAGGTTTGAATATTCACAATTCTGCATCTGCAGTCAACTCTGTATTCAGCCCTGAAACAATAAGCTTCCAAAGCAATTTTTTTTAAAAACCTCTAATTTACAGTGCTGTTCCCTTACTTACTTCTTCACTAACACCACCCCTGGGCACACATTTTACTACTGGGATCTTCCCAGGCTGATTACAATTGGAATATTTACAATGGCTGTTTATGGAAGTCATCCCACTAGGCTTCAGCAGTGCCAAGTGTTCCTTCTCCAGGAGATGTTTTTCCTGACTCATTGTTGCTGCCCACACTGATAACACTGTTATAAACAATTGAAATGTTTTCCTTATTATTACTCTTTACCCTGTTGGTTCAGTCTGTGTTTCTTTCAATTTTGTACACTCATTTACCTTCTTAGTGCTCCTTATGTGGTCCTTGTTTAACATTCTTGTGGTTATTCTGGTCTGGCTCTAACACTGTGGATTACAGCCCACATATGGGAGATGCAGCTGGTCCCATTCTGCCCAGGCCCATCTCCCACTGTCCTAACGTGCAGTTGCATGTTGCACAAAAACAAATCGTACAACTGCACAGAAGTTAGTTATACAGACAGGTGTTTGTTTCAAATTTATTTTTTTTTTCTACTCTTCTTTCCTTGATGTTTATAGCCCAGACAGCTCCACCTGATAACTGTATTTTCTTTCCAGCACTTGTCGTGATAGCTCAGCACAACTATTTCACAAATACTGTTCCCTCCTGCTCCTTGCTCTTGCACCAGAGAGTAGGTCACTCCACCCCTTTGTTCTTGGGGAAGTCCCTGGCCCCCCAGGCAAATGTGGTTGGTTTAATTACCAACACCTGTTGCACAAGGAGGAAGCAGAGATTGAAACAAGGAAAAAAAAACAGGCAATCAGACCATTTGGTATTGCCCAAAAAAGTTGTTCAGGTATTTCATGTCCATTTTCAGCTCATGACACTGGCAATAGGAACTCATTAGGTTTGTTTCCCAGTGCCCTTGCAGTAGAAGAGGAGGCTGCTCTGTAAGTCATGACTTCTGAACTTTCCAACAAGTCTATTAATTCTCTCTCTAACTTTTATAGACTAAAAACATGCTCTGGCCTCTCCATTTTTGCTTTGGGAGCTTGCTTTGCTGCTTTAATTTGAGTCCAAGATCATTCTGTATGTACTTCAGCAGCTGGAGAAAATGCAGTTATGACCAACAGCAATATCCACTGTTACCGAGTCAGAAAGGTTTTATCAGCTAAGCTTATGAAAGTCTCCCTTTCTGCATTATAAATGTGGCACATAATTTGAATTCATAGCACTTCCTTTGTTTTTTTCCCTTTATGATACTTTCAGACTGTCAACCAGTTTTCATTCCGCTTGATGTTTTCCATTACTCTGGCATAACTAATCTTAGCCACCCTCATTTTCTGAGAACTACTAATTTAAAATGTGTCTGATTGTTTCTCCCCTCCCACCATTCCCCACTGTCAGTGTGAACATCACTGCACTCTAACAGTGCAGGTACAGACACAAAAAAGCCATTACTGACAGTTAAAGGAGGGTGACAACCAAGAGCCTTTTTCCTTAGTTAAGTGAAGAGCAGCTTTGTGGGGTGAAACGTTCTACATGTGCACTGAGCAGCTCCCACCAGATGGCTGACAATGGTGCAAGTTAACCTCTTAGTTTACATCACAGCAGCGTGTGAAGTACCTATACAGTATTCGCCTATAGTGAACTCATCAAGAAGGCTCTAACTACATGTTAGAGCACATAAACTGCAAATGTGATTTGCTTTTATTTTACCTCACCCTGTTTAGAATGTAGATGTTTCCTTGAATAAGAGCCATATCCTTCAAGTTCACGTTCTTCTTCTGCCGTGCTTTGCAAAACATAATCTTGTGTTTGACACTGAAAATCCAGGCACAGTTACAGCATTTTGAATTCCATGCAGGTTGAAGTAGATGAGAGGGAAGGAGTACCAGCCAGGGGAAATTACTTGTTTAAACCACTTAGTAAAAATGACCAGGAAAATTAAAGAACCTAAAGACATATAAGAAAAGACAAATAGGCCTGTTATATTTTAAAGGATTTCTCCCAGGGAAAAAGTCCCTTTTAAATATACAATAAGCAGTTTAGTCTCCAGTGAAAACTACAGAGAGCCTGACAATGCGAGTGAAATGTATGCATATAGCTACAGAGATTCCAGGAAAAACAAGGATATTTAGGATATCTACTCACAGCAAAACACAGACCTAGAACAGCCTTTAAAGCAGGTAGAGGTGATGGATACCTCAGTACTTATTAGTGACCTTTAGTCCTATCTCTCATCTCAAAATGTTTATTCTGCCATCAGAAAATGCTTATTCTGCCTGTTTGCTTGTTTTAGACCTCCCTTCTGCCTTTTCATAGCTTTTTTGCCATATCTGGTTTGAAATACAGCATCATTCCCTAAATAAAATCTACACATCCTGTAATGATTTCAGAAATGGAAGAACTAGTTGTCTTTCATCTCTCCACTGGGGGGTTGATAAAGGTCCAGGTATTTCTGCCTGTAAGTTGTTGCTCCAATACCTGCCTCCACAGCAAACACCAAGTCTCAGAGAAGTGTTGTCCTGAGTGAATGCAGTAAATCACCACACTTAGTGTCATTTTTGTTGTGAGAATTTATTTAGAGCTAAAGAGCATTTTCTGAATTTGTTTTTGAATAATGAGTTGTTCTAAATATAATCATCTTAGATTCTCTTCACTCCTTTATTATACTGCATAATACCAGAGAGTTATTGTAAAACAGACTAAGAAAAATTAAGAGGCTAAGAATACTCTTGACCTTGTTAAGTAGGGCAATTATAAAGAAAAAAGGTGAATTAATATTTTTAAACAAAGCAGTGATAAGAATATTCAAACTAATATTCAAATAAGGTATTATATGGCTGTATATTTAAAGAAGTTATAGCTCAATATATAGGCATAGAGGTACCTTCTTTCTAATGCTAACACCTGCCTAAGCGTCTAAAAACAGCAGTTTATGAAATAATCTAACTGTATATACCTTCTATACTTACAGCACCAGATACATATTTTTTGCCCTTCTGTGTGTGCCCTTCATCTGACCTTTTTCTGCCTTCAAAATTGGCTGATCATATAGAATATTCCTGTGGGCAGAAAAAAAAAAAATTATATTTTTAAGTGGTCCATGTGCTCCTTGTTATTGTAAAATAGGAATCAAGAACCTGTTTTACACCTTTTAACTGAACATACAGTTTGGAAACTAGTTAGAGAAAAACACATTCTTATTCTTACCTTTAAAACATGTTGTGTTAAGTCCAGCCACACGTTAGGTTGCCATCCATTCCTTTGTAACAGCCAAAACTTTTTCAGAAAGCTATCAAAGAAAAATAGTACCTACTGCAGGAAAGAAATTCAGTCACAGCCCAATGTCAGAATTCTCCCACTGAAAAATGAAATTGCAAAAAAAAAGAAGCCAAACAACTTACACAGAGAGTTACCTTTCCTTTCTTGAAGCATGTTGCAGGAGATAAGGAGAAGACTGGTCTTCATCATGGTATTCAACTCTATCTTCTTAAGCTTTATAATATGACCAAGAAAGGCATGTGGGACATAAACTCTGAAGGCTGATAGACACGTCTGTGAGAGGCTATTGTTAGTTCTCTTAAAAAGAAAATAAGTGATAATCCATATATTTTTACATCTATATATTTTAACTGTTTTATGTATATATTTATGTTTTATGTTCACTTCTTTTATTAATTTACTGTCTTCTATCTAGAGCTTTATCTAGTTTTCATCTCTCTTTAAAAAAAATATAAAATCGGTGGCAATTTTTTTTTGTAATTTCATTATCAAACAAAGAAAAACTGTCAGATGATTTTATTAATCCCACTGTTTTGGTTTTTTTTTTTTCCCCTCTTCAGGCACTGGAAAAACACTGCAGAGTTGATGGTGGCTATTCTGGCATTAGAGATGTTTATAACAATCACGAAAGCCATGACGATGTGCAGCAAAGTTTCTTCCTTTCAGAGACACTCAAGTAAGTTAAGAAAGTTGACTTTCATTAATATGAAGTAGTTCTATGTATTGTCTTGACAGAGTTATTTATCAGTAGTATCCCTGACATTCACATTACAAAATCTGACTGAAATAATAGAGCTTTTCTTAGGTGACAGGAAGTCAAATTGCCTTTTTTTTCCCTTCTATATCAATAAACTAATTTCTGTGATTTCTGGAAATTACCATTACTTCTGATAAAGGTACTTGATAGTCTTTGTTGAGAAATTACACCTCCTAGCTTTGATATGATCTAATTCTGTATGCCAACATTAGTGAAACAAATTGACAAGACAGAGGAAATACCAGGCTTCTGTTGCACACTTTTCATTTTAAAACTACAGAAAAAATAAAAATAAGTCAGCTTGCAGGGCCTGTTAATGAAAGCTTTTGGTTTTCTTTCTTACATGCCACTCACTGTCTCTGAAGTTTTTAATTAAATAAAGGAAGTTTTGTCTTGGACTCCTCACTTGCAAAGACCAGAAAGAAGCAATCATGCCATTTCAACGGAAAGAGTAATAATCAAGTAAATGAAATATCATAAATACATTTATAAACATAGTGGCATTTTTTTGCAATAGTGTGCTCCCTCTACTATACCTTTTAAACTGGCCTGTCAGAATTAGACCAAGACAAGTCTTCAGGGAATGATGGTGATTAATAAAAAAGTCAAATTTTATTTGTTAAGCAGACTTTCACCCCTAAGCAGACATCAATAATCATGCTACAGTAGCTACTACCTTGTATCATGACAATAAATAAAATCTTGGGTCTTTTTATTGGTTACTGCTGGGTTTAGTAGACCCTGTCTTAATATATGGATGCTCAAGCTACTGGAATAGTGCTAGCTTTCTTCTTTAAAAATCCTAGGCCAGAGGTTGTTCTCAAGTAAGATGGGATTAGACTACAATATTTTCATTCCTACACCTTGATGTATGTGGACATTCATGAGGAAAAAAGTACTATGGTTGTATATTATCAAAACAATATGTAATAAAATTACCAAGGATGAAATGGAAGTGAAGTGAGGTGATATTTAACCTTGACAGCTGAAACTTCTTTGTCCTCTGTGAGGATAGACAGATTCTTTTCTTGGTCTCCAGTTTGCTCTTGAGTCCAATCTGAGTTCAGTAGCCCCAAAGTTTTGTGCTAATCATTGTGATGCTGGGACTTACTGATTTTGTGTTTGGTCAGCTGTTTCTGCAGATACATCCATCTAGGGAAATCAGGTTCCCTAGATTTTCTGAAAACTATGTAGTTTCACTTCCCTGATGTGGTCACACTTCCTGCTTTTTTTCTTGACAGGTACTTGTATTTGCTCTTTTCTGAAGATGATCTACTTCCATTTGAACACTGGGTCTTCAACACAGAGGCTCATCCTCTCCCTATTCTTCAGAAAGAAGATGGGAATAAAGAAGAAAACCAGAAATAGATGAAGTTATACTTTGTTTCATTCCTTAGGTTTCTTTCCAGGAATTGGGCACATGATTTGGTTTTAAATTCCTAAGTGAAATTTTTAAATCAAGTGTTTTGCAGTCTGTTTGCTTTAACAGTCAATATTTATGAATGGACCCTAACTGACTGTGATAAAACTTCATTCCTCCAATCCAGCTGAACCACCTCTTAGAAGAGAAACAGGGAATCTCTCCAGATTTCATTAGGCTGCAGTGTCATCTTGGCCAAAAAGAACAGAGGGTATGCATGTTATTTGTTTCCTGTTATGCTTTTTAATTTGACTGCAAAATTCTTTTCTCCTCTGTGAGGAGATGTCTGCTTTAAGCTGTAATATTTTGCCATGTTGCAAAAAGCCATAATGAAGTATAAAGAGCTTTTTTTTCTTCTTTTTGTTCTATGTTAATTTGTTTTGTGTGTCATCCAAGACAAATCTTGTGACTGTGACAGCCTCTTCTTATGCGGGTCTATCATTACTTGGTAAAGTATTTGATGTATTTCGTTGTCAATGAAGTCTACATAGGAACGTTTGCATCTCATGCAGACAACTCTGAAACTGCAGTATACATTGAAGTTAATCTAAACTTAGTTTTTATGAATTTAGCACAGTAATTAGCAGTCTTAGTTTTTCAGGTTTTGATTAGACTATTGTAACAGAATAAATTGTCTCTTCCCTTTTCTAAGTGGTGTTATTCTCATGTCTTTAGTCAGGCTAATACAGAATAAAATAAGATAGACATTTCATATTAAGACAAGGAGTTTTACCTCCTTTATATGTTTAGTCCAGTAGCTTTCATTTGGTTGGATGGTGAAAAGACAAAGAAATACTTGATGACATTTTCCTGGAAGCTGAGAATTATACCAGAAACAATTTGTCGATTTTCTGGGACTTTCTCAAACATTCAGAAAGGTTCAGACTTGACACCAGACTTAATAGTTTGTCACAAAGCAATTCAGTGTGTCTACATGAATCAGATGCCCTGAAGACATTTTTTCGTCTTAAAAGAAGATAATCACTCAGAGAGGAAATTATCCAGCGTACAACTAAAACTTTCTGAAAGCACCAAGTCAATCTTCTGTAAGTGAGCAAAGCGCAGCGTGCTTAAAATTGATCCCTAGATTAGAGGCCTGGCTTACTAAGAAAGGTAACAGCTTTGCCAAAAATGTTTACTTTCTAGCATCACCAAAGGGAAAAAATTAGGCACAACTAATTTCTGTTTCTGCTTACGTGTAGTTTGGAGTGGTTTACATGAGTCTACCTACATTTTCCTTTCATGACAGGACGACTTCTGTGTATTTTGAGTAGGGTGTAACACCTGGCTTCCCATGCTGAGGAAGCACGTTATTCACTGCTTTGACTGCAGCAAAACAAAGAGGTTCTGAACAGTAATCTTCAAAGGTATCTAGTAAGGTAGCTCACATGTGCAGCATAGCTAATCACAGCTGAGGAAGCACATTTGTTTAGGCATTACAGAGTACATTTTTTTTCTGTACTGCTAGAGGTCTGCAGTGTAGTTTTTCTTAGGTAGAACTCAAGAGCAAAGATAACAGATTACATCTTTATATATAGCAGCTAGAGGCTGACCCAGAAACTTGACCCTCTGGAGTGTGTGAAGACAGCACTGCCTCTCTGCTTCCCCTGCAGGCAGAGAAGATGGCAGGTGCCACATGAGTTGCCAAAGACATTTATGCAGGGGACAAGGCTGGAGGATCTTCAGTGATGCTGATCCTTCCATCACAGGACTGGCAGAGTTGAGCATTTGCACATGGAAGTTACCAGGGGTACCCTGCTGAGCCTGGGCAACCCAGAGCTGGGAGAATGGACACAAACATATGTGCATCTGCCTCAGGTAATGCCTGGAACTGGCACACTGAGGCAAGAGTTTTTGCTTTACTGCCTTTTTTGTTTGTTTTAATTATTAGAATTATTTTATTTTTTAAAGTATGGATTCCTTCATGTCACAGTAACAGTTTTCTGGAACTTGAACAAGCAAGGATGAAGTCTTGGCTCTCCTTCACTGAAAAAGCAGAACACGTGCCAATTTTGATACTCCAGAATTTGTATCATTGGAGAACTAGATTGTATTCCTTCAGAAACAGTATTTATAAGGGAACACTTCCCACCACCCCTCAGGTAGCACAGAGAAATTAGAGCTGTGAAATAAAACCAGAAAAATCTCTTCCCCCCTTAACCAAAAATATAGTAGTTACTTCTGTCTTAGTTCTCTTTACTGGGTCCTCTGCTGCTGCCTACCACATGGCTGTGCATGTGCTGCTACAGGCCTCGTACCAGTTAACTAATCACAACAGCTCAGAGAAAACCAGTCTTTGAGAAACGTGTTTTGTAAGCCTCTTTCTACATGGTTTTTCTTAGCCGCAGTAGCTTCCCCCAGATGTATCTGGTCATCTTGCCTTTACTTCAGAGAAACAGTGGAGAACCAGATAGCTCTTCTCTGCATTCCAAAAAGCAGGCTACAGCCACACAGCTCTTGTAGGCATTGGGTCCTGTGTACTTCCATAGAAGCATCATCACTGTTTCCTCGTAATACAGACATTTAGAGATAACTTTTTTTCTTTTACTTTGGGAGTTATGATGATTTGAAAGAGCACAAATCTGATGTGACCGGCATTAGTATTCAGGTTGTATGTACAAACTGCACTATACTGTACTTTTTGTAAACTAATGTAAGTAGACGAGAAGATTGTACAACATGTAGATCTGCCAACTGTAAGAAAAACCCCCAACTTTTCATAAACTGAGACTATACTCCTTTTCCTTTTTTTTTTTTTAATAACCCCAAAACACCAAAGTTAGAGCAACCATTTTGAAACGGTCAGTACTTAACCACTGCTTGTTAGATTGCTGAGATTCTTTATCTCCCATTCACTGAACTAGCTGCATGGAGGTGGCTAGTGATGGTCACTTTGTGTTCCCAGTCATTCATAACAACAAAAGAAATAAAGTAAATTGCTTGGGACAGGGGGAGCCAGGGCAGGGAGCATTATCTTTGCATAAACACAATACCTATACTTCTTCCATGGATACTACTTCTTTGTAGCTTAATAATGCATTTCAATCCGCATAGATTAAATCCTAAGAGGTAGATCACCTCAAAAGGCACCCACATAATTGTTTCATGGTGGGGAAAAAAAAAAAAAGAAGTTTGATTGTTTGTGATATAATTATTGCATAAGTGTTGGTTGTACACAGATTTTTGCAATGCCCAATGGCTCACTGTTTCTATGGTGACTTCATCTTACCTATTACCCATTTCTATCATGCATTTAAATTGTTTTTGATTTGTACATAATCTGTTTAGTCTTTCCATCTTTATATAAATTGAAATTATGGAATACATAATTGATCAAGATGCTTAATTTTTAAGAACTTATATTTGTAAAAATTTCTCTATTGTGAATAAAGTCTTTTAATATATCTGTTCAACTTGTTATCATTTTTCCTAAGAGTGTTGCAGAAGTGAGTACAGGAACCTGCTGCATAGTCTGGTTTGGCTGCTTTACTCATGAATTTTTGTCAGCAGACTGGTTTAATACGGATTAGTACTCCGTGTACTTGTTAAGATACTATTGTTAATTCTTAGTCAGCGTGTATAGAATCGCTACCACAGAAATAAATTCCCATACATTTTTGTCCATAAAATTCACCCTACCAAATGTATTTTGGTAGAAAGCGAGCTTGCTAATGAAAAGCAGGAAGCTGGGGAGTGGGAGGTGGCAGGCTGTAAGCAGAGTGGAGGTCAGTCACTCCAATTCATGTTCTGCACAATCCAGGCAGGCTTCAGCTAATGCCATTGAGGAGCAAACAGCAGAGCGGCGGTGACGAGGCTGTCGCAGTGCCCGGCGCTGCGGGGTCGTGTAATGAAACACGGTCGTTAGTCCATGCTCCAGAGGAGAGGGGAGCAGTTGTCATAGGAACTGTAACTACAAGTTTTTTGTCAGAAGGGCATATTGGTAAGATCTCCAATCTAAATACTGAAATAACAGCTACACCTCCTAGATAACCTTGTTTTCTGCTTAGTAGAAAGCCTCATCCAGAGAGGATAGTGAAATAAACTGCTGTGATTTTACACAACAGTCTCAGTAGTATCGATGTCTGTCGAAGGACTTGTTCATTTTTCCTGCTTAAGTAATTTTTGAGGGTAGCTCTTAGATCTGGCATCTCATTTTGCCAGCGTAGCTGTGGGTGTGCAGCTACACAATGCAACCCTTGGGGTAGTCAGCAGGCAGCTCCCTCCTAGTAGCTGGCTCCAGGACCACACAAAGTGGTACTCACGTTAAACATGAACTAATGCAGACCTTAGCGCACCACGTTATTCACAAGAGATGTAAATACAAGCCTGGGTTAGCTTTTCAACCAGTTTGGTCTCTTAATTGGATGCTTGGTGTGGTTTGCTTTTTGTAGGGGGAAAAAAGAAGCTAGGACTGAGTTGACAATTAGTCAAGACAAACAGGATTTGCCCTGCCATCTGCATTGCCCTATGGCCTTGCTCAATCACAAGAGGAACTCAGCATGTCATATGACAGCATCTGCTATGGAAACAGCTCTTCATCTGATCCGACTTAATCCTAGGATTAGTCTGTCCTGGTTGATCTCAAATGCAGGAAGAAAGATTATTAATTTTTTTTTTTTAAAATCAAAAAACAGCCACCAAACCCAAGAAATGATCACCGACACAGTTCCCAAATGCTATGAGAAGAGATGAAATACAGTTTTGGTCATTCCTGATCTTATACCTTCATACATGCACAAAGTGGTGGATGGAGCAACTCACACAGCTGCGGAAACCAGTTAGAGCCCAGCAAGCTGTTGGCATTTAGCAGTGCCTCCAAAGCCAGTACATAGCTGAGAAATGAGGGTCAGTCTGCTCCTCTATCTGCACCAGCTCTCACTTGTAATTAATCACCATGATCAACCTTCCTTATGGAAGCCCCTGTAAAACTTGCACATGCTCTCCAAACTTTCTGTGTACACTTTGTGGCTGATTTGTGGCAAGTTGTTTGCCTTTCACCGCTCCCATACTGACATTTTACAGGTTATTAAAGACCCCTCTCATTATTGATATTTTAACCCTTCATTTCAGTTTCACACCATCAATCAGAGTAGCACTGAGTTACTATTACTCTTGAGCACCTCAAGCTAACAAAAAATTAAGTGTGACTTCATTATACTGTCGCTTTCCAGCCATCGATTCACTGAGCAGGGAGCATCACGAGGGGACTTGCTGGTACTGCAGAAGTTCAGAGAGGTGTTTTGCTTCACAACACACATGACAGAACCCAGAGCCATGGGGGACAGGTAAAGGATTCCAACACTGAAAATAGTGATCCTACAGGAACGGTAGGTCATATGACTTTTCAGAAGTT